TCAAGCTTTGGGGATTTTTTGTTGGTGTATTTGTATGAAAGAAAGCGTTTGAAGCTTATAATGCACATGTTGCAATTTCAGGTGTAACTTAGTGTTCAAATATGGGACACGCACGGCCAGGCACTAGTGTAGGAAATCTTCAAATGTTAATCAGGTATATGACTAAATTATTTGTCTGTTGCCTTACGAAAAAGTTTATATTTAGTCCGGCCTGAATTGATTCGCAAAACAATTATTAGTTTAAAAGGAAAAAAACATATTTGATGACATTAGAAATTCCCCAATAACCAATACGATTGGAGAGCGAGTACTCGTTTTTGTTTTTCTTCAAAACTTACTCAACTATAAATAGCTGGCCCGGATACTTGAGCTTCTCACAAAACGCAAGTATAGGCCTGATGTGTCGTCAGTGGCGTCGCTAGACCTTTTTCAGTGGGGGGGGGGGGGGGTATAGAGGCCAACGATTCCCGACAAAACAAGCCACCAATTAATTACCGACAAAATTAAATGTTCCGATATAGTAAATTGTTATGCGCAAATGGTCATTTTCGTCGACGACATAAATATACAAATTATTTCGTCAACTTAGTAAGCATTATAGCTATTTAATGCAGGCGCGTAGAAAGGATCTTATTTTAGGGAGGGGCGGTATTGAGCAAGCGAATCACTTAAAGAGCGCGCAAAGCGCTCCCTAGGTGGTGGAGGGGATGGGTGAAAGGCATCCCGCGCGAAGCGCAGTAGCTTAGACGTTCCATTAAATTATTATGAAAAGAAGACGATTTGTTGTACCGTTCTCGACTCTTAATCCTTGTCTGAATTCAGTTTCCCCATCCCACACGAAGCGCGGAGGCTTAGACGTTTCATTAAATTATTATAGAAAGAAGACGATTTGTTGTATACCGTTCTCTACTCTTAACCCTAATTGTCTGAATTCAGCTTCTCCCCCTCTCGCGCGAAGCGCGGGAGCTTCGACGTTTCACTAAATTATTAGAAAAAGAAGACGATTCATTGAACCGACTCTAAATCATTGTCTGAATTTTCAAAAATGTTTCTTTGTCCGATAAAAAGTCACAGTTTTAAGGGGAAAAAAAAATCGCTGGCCGACCGACATAATAAATACCACCGACTTTAACCCCACCCCCCCCCCCCTTTAGCGACGCCCCTGAATGTAGAGTGGCTTGAGCGGGTAGGCACAGGGCGTGGTTCTAAACTTACAGAGACACTTCGATGAAGACACCCTTATTTCATGATTGCGTGTGTCGAACTGCCATGGGCTTTACAACTTTAAACCTCCAGGATTTATTTTGCATATATAGGGATTTACATGATCATTAAAAGGAAATAATGAATATTCAAATATCATAGGTAGCAAATAAAGGATGACTAACAGAGGAATGAAAACAAACAGATAGGAGAGGATGATCAAGCATAATGATGTGCACCAATCTATAAATGTGAATTACTAAGTAGCCTGTTCACACTACAGCTCTACAATAACAAAGCATTTGTAGCCTTACTTTTAAGCAGTTGAAGAAATTAATAAAAGTAGGCCTACTTGAAGAAATCGTTGAATTATAAGATATTCAGTTTATTTTATTAAGTATGACAAAACACACATTTAACACCTTTGGAAAAAATAATACCCCAGGAACGTGAAAAACAAAATTTTTATTGTCACACATGCCTATAATCGGACATATTTAAAAACTGAAATGTGGCAACACCCAAAAATATAATTCTGAGATCCTTCTTTGTCTTTAATTTGCACCTGAAAATAAATTCTTTGTTTCTCATCTATCTCATCGCGGCGAAAAATTTCAGACTTTTCTTCTTTTCATGCATCCTCAGACAAATGTGCCAAAGAAGTTTTGTCTTCTTGTGTTCCTTGAAACAAAGTTTGGGCAATAGTTTTCAAGTTCAGTTTATCTTTACGAGATGTATAATATGTGTAATATTAAGCTTTGGTTGAGCTTTCTTTGGGTCATTGTACTTGTTTTGATCCGTTTCAAGACAGAGAATGTTCTCTCGCAAGTTGCCGTTGTAACCGGGATTGTAAGGTAAATGAGAAGAAGGAAGTGCACCTCTGAGAATGATCTCTTATAGATTGGACTGTTGTTGAAAATCTCACAGATTGTTTTAATGTATATTTGATAGGTTTACTCTCATCGTCACACACGTCTTGGAGGCTTGTTAGCTGCCGAGTTAATGCTACAAAGTCAATATCTCCGGCATACACTTCCCTCAACTCATCAGCACGAACAAAATCTTGGGGAGGGGGCTCATGATAACCGAGCCCCTCAAAAATATCGGGGGGCTCCGTGATGTTATCCGAGCCCCACACAAATATCGGGGGGCTCCGTGATGTTACCCGAGCCCCACCAAAAACACTTGAGGAGGGGGGGGGGGGGGCTTATGATATCTGAGCCCCACCAACATATTGGGGGGGGGGGGGCTCAATGATATCAGAGTCCCTTCAAAATATTTGGGGGTTTAAATGATATCCGAGATCCACCAAATATATTTTTGGGTCAATGATATGCGAGATCCGATGTCTGAGCCCCCCTCCCTCCTCCCTAAATAAATATTTATAAAATGTTTATATTTGAATGGTACGTCTGTATATTATAGGTATACACGAGTTTCATGCCTAGAATATAATCATTGGGGAGGAGGGCGGCTCAATGATATCTGAGCCCCACTTAAAATATTGGGGGCTCAATGGTATCTTAGCCCTTAAGGACTCAATGATATCTAAGCCCCACCAAAAGATTGAGGGGCTCAATTAATGATATCTATAAGCCCCGCCAAAAATATGGGGGGGGGGGGCTCAATGATCTCTGAGCCCCCCCCCCCCCAACATTTTTTTTTTTGGGGGGGGGGCTGTGCCCCCCAATCCCCTCCCCCGGTTCCTAAGCCTAATTACAGTTCAATGAAGTCTACTTTTTTAAACTTAAAGGGATTGGGTAACTTTGTCTTAGGTTCTGAAATAAAAAATCCTGGAATAATAGTTAAGGCTAGTTCTGATCTGAAAACGACCCAAATATCGGAGAATGGCTTGCTGCCCCAGGGCCTTGTCCTATATACGGATCAGAGAAAAAATACTATAAATATTTCGGGGGTTACTTTTATGACTTTCGGGGGCTCTTTTTGGCATTTCGGGGGCTAATTCACCCCGAGCCCCCGTGTATTTTTCCTCCTGATACGGATAAGTGAGTGCCCTGATGGGTCTTCTTCTAACTCGTGTTTTTAGCCCTTCCTTCTTTACTTTTTTCTCTCCTTTCCTTTCTTACTTTTTTCAAAGGGGGGGGGGGGGGTCCATCGCCCCCCGTATATAATAATAATAATAATAATACAATATTTATATAGCGCAAAATAAACATAAGTTTCTCTTTGCGCTGTACAAGCATATATATATAATCACATAAAAAGAATCAACACAGAGAAATATACAAATCTTATACCACTAAAATGACTAACTTAACATAGTAAATAACATAATAAAGAGATAGCTAACATATCCGCGCCTGAGTGACACCCACACAAACTAACCTTATTTATTACCGAACAAAAAATGAAGAAAGAGCCCCTCGACACCATAGGTGTAAGTATTCAGCCAGTTCCTACCCCCCCCCCCCCACCAATATAAACTTTAAAAGTGATTTTTTTTTTTTCTAATTTGATACCAGTATAGGTCTATACAGATCTTGCTGAAATGGCCTAATTTTCCGGGATTTTTTCCTCGCTTTTTAGTAAATTATATTTTTTATGCGTTTGTTGGAGAATGACATATATCACAATTTACAGTCAGGCAAGAAATGTGCTTATTTACTATTTAGAGGCCGACATGTCAGGTCCCGCGGAACGGCGGGCTCGGGGGCTCAAGCCCCCCCCCCCCCCCCACACTTTTGAAAAAGAATATTAAAGAGAATTAAATAGAAAGAAATAGAAAAGAAAGTATGCTCATGTAACCGTAATTAAATGCCCATACCCCTGAGCTAATTCCGGGGGCTCTGCCCCCTGGACCCCATCTTGGGCCCTAAGGCTGGCCCCTGGATGCTAATCTGACCTTAATTGTAATGCATAAAACCCCTGCGCTTCCGGGGGCTCTGCCCCTTGGAGCATACGCCAATTAGTGACCTGCCAGTGTCATGAAAATGGTATTAAAATAATTATGCTCATCTGACCGTAAGTACGAAGCCACGTACAATCGATTACAACAGTAATTGTGGGGCCGATATCACGAGTATGCCTTCATAGAATAAAGGTTTTAAAGAAAATATTCACTTCTACTTTCAAAAGGACTGGCCCATTTGCTTTAAAAAATTGTAGAGAGTTATTATTATGTAATTTCTAGAAGAAAAAAATGCCAACCACATGATTTACAATGAGTCTAAATACATTGATTTGCCGAGTTTCTTCCTTTTATCAAAATAAATGTACACGTAAAACGATGGGGGGGGGGGGGGGGGGGGGGACAGACTGCGCGGATGGCAATCCGCACGGATCGTCCCTCGGACGATCCGTGCGAGCAGAAAACCCGCATATTAGGTCCGACGGACAAACAAAACTGGTAGGACAAACGGTGCAGTCACACCGGCCTGAATAGAATAACGCGAATGCACTTCAACATTGAACATTTTGGTATATAGGGTCTATTTCAGTTTTTTTTGTGCAAATTTAGGTTGAAGTATTGCCATCTAAACATCTGCATTATAAACATTCCAAATGTTATCATTACAAGTGATGGTTTATGAACGATGATGATAATGAATAGGGCCTACGGAGAAATCAAATCAATTATAATCAAATCATCACCACCGTCATCAATAAAGACCTACACTGTATAGGTCTAAACTAGAGAGATTATGCGGTGGCAGAATGGATATAATATATCTCGGCTAGCGCCGCGTACAACGTAAGCGCGCGGCGAGCGCGAGCAGATGTTTAGCGCATAGAGAGCCATATCATATCGCGCACGTACTGCTGCATGCATACGTACGTGTGCGGAATGTGTAATTAGGAAACATTATTATTGCGAAAGAGCCGCTCCACAAAAGTCGACATGCAAACAAACAGAAAACAAATATCTAGGCTTACACCACGTTTGACCATCATCGTGGAACAATCACAGTTCTACGGATGCTGTCTATGAATGTGATAGTTGCCGTTTCTCTCAAGACACTTTTTGCCTTTGATCGTGGTCATTTGAAGACAAGATGACATCTTTAAAAGCAGCCGTTCTTTCCGCAGTGCTGGCGGCCTTCTGGTGGGAAGCCACCGGGACGCCGACCGCAGCTAGTGCCTCCAAGCCCCTTGTATTGATCGTGTCTTTCGACGGCTTCCGCTGGGACTATCTAACCAAAGTGGACACTCCAAACTTTGACGAACTTATTGCTTCAGGGGTGCAGGCAAAATATATCAAAGATGTGTTTATTACCAAGACTTTTCCAAACCATTTTACCCTGGTGACAGGACTTTACGAAGAGTCGCACGGTGTGACTGGAAACGCGATGTATGATCCTGCCTTCAATCAATCGTTTGGTATGAACAGCACGGATCCGAAATGGTGGAACGGGGGAGAACCAGTTTGGATTGCAAACCAAAAACAGGGAGGCAGGAGTTCCGTCGTCTTGTGGCCCAGCGGGAATGTCAACTTCAGTGGTATTCTACCCGATTATTTTTTCCCTGCTTATGATGCTAGCATTCCATTTCAGCATCGCGTCGACGTGATTATAGACAACTTTGTGAATGGCAGAGTCAATTTCGGAGCTCTGTATTTTCAAGAACCTGATCATTCAGGCCACCTGTTTGGACCTGATTCTCAAGAGATATTACCCATCCTCAGTATGTGTGATAGAACAGCAGGATACCTGATCAGTCGGCTGAAAGAAAGTGGTCTATTTGAGCGGATCAATATCATTATAACCTCGGATCATGGGATGACAACGATCAGCCCAGAGAGAGTGCTTGTGGTTGAAGAATTTGTGGACCCAAACACCTTCCCATACCGCACGACCAGTAACAATCCAATCATGAGCATTTGGCCAGAAAATGGTAGGCTATGGATATCTATGTTATTGTTAATTTTGTTGTTAAGCATGCCTCTCATCCTTTTGTTCCTCATTTTTACCTCATAGTCATAAATGGTTAAAATGAAGTGGAATATTGATATCACTTTGTATTTATTACTTTTTTACTTGTCTCATGTAAACAATTGTCTAGTGAGGAGATCCTTTATTACAACAACAGCAACTAGTCATAGGCACTAGTCATAATTTTTTACTTTTTTTTTCTTCTCTTGATGATATTCCTTCAAAACACAATTCATCCAAACAAATGCATTTTTAAACATTTTACTTTAATACTGTAGGCCCCATATTCAGATGAACTGCACATTCTGTGATTACATAATCATTAAAAATGGGGCATCATTGTAAAGATTAAAGAGGAATTAGTAGGCTTTCCAATAACACCAAGTCCAATATCAAGTATGATAATATACGACCAAGAGAGATATAAATGCTAAAACACTATTTTTTTAGGGGTTTATACATGTAAACGACCACACTTTGAACACTGACATTGATTTCGTCTCTTTTTTCCCATTAGATGAAGATACTGAAGCCATCTACAATGGATTCCATGGAAAGAACCAAAATATGACGGCATACCTGAAAGAAAACATCCCTGCAAAGTTCCATTACCGTGACAACCGTCGTATCTCTCCCATCCTCTTGGTCGCCAAAGAGGGGTGGCAAATCATCGACAACAGAACGGGGAGTTGGCCGAGTAAGTTCCTTTCAACAGATATTTATTCTATAAAATCCAGATAAGTGATGATAAGAGGGGAGGGGAGGTGAGTTGGCTCAGTCGGTAAAGTGTCTGCCTGTCGAACCAAAGATCTCGGGTTCGAAATCCCACCCAGGCGGATGACTGAAGCCTGCGTTGTGTGTTAACATGCCCCTCCCATTATTTCATAGACGCAGGCTATGTTAAAGTGGAAAACAATCCGTCCCTTGGATAGAACATTAAATGGAGTCACCACCCTTGCACGTTAAGAACCCACTGCACTATTCGTATAAGAGTAGGGGGAAACCCCGGTTTAGTGGTCCACCTGCACATCCCCAATCAGGCAGAGTATACAATATACGGCATCTGCAAGAAAAATCAGTATTGAAGGAGGCAGATTATCTTGAAGAAGAAGAAGAAGACCAAATTTATATTCATCGTTAATATCTAGATTAAGAAAGAAACACATTTCTTTAACTACTATTTTTTAGACCACTCTCCTCAAAGTGCTGTAATGATAATCACCTCCTTTGATTATAGGCATCTATTGGGGAAAAAGATGATCTAACATAAGATCTTCTGTATTTCTTCTTCTTTGTTGACTGTTTAAAAAAAAGGCTGTATTTTGGTTGTTCTGGTATAAAATGAACCCCCTTTCTGTGAATTCACTACTTGAAAAGTCATGATTATCTCTTCAAACTTGTATGTCATTGTGTGAATTATCTTTAAAATGGTGTTTAATTTAATTTTCTTTTAATTAAAAATTGGCAGTAAGGATCTTTGGAGAAGAAAACAAAAGCTGTTTAAAGTTAAATTCTTGACAACCCTGTAGATGCCATGGTAAGGGTATTTTATGCCATTTTGTGCATATTTTTTAATATGTACAAGTATATTTATACAGTGTATATGAAAATGAAAGTATAGGCATAACATATATTACGACTTTCCAAGTTAAGCCATTGCACAATCTCCTGATTATTTTCGACCACAGCTCACCTTGGCACCCACGGTTACAACAACGACCTCATGTCGATGCACCCGTTCTTCATCGCCCATGGACCAGCATTCAAGAAGGGCTTCGTTGCCGAACCGTTCAGCAGCACCAACGTCTACGCCCTCATGTGCCACATATTGGGCATCAATCCCTCCCCAAACAACGGCAGCTGGGAGAACGTGCGGTCACTGTTGGCCCCCACGCCCGTAAGTACGAGGGATAGGCCGAGCACCAATGATGTCTCTCCAACAGGCGGTGATGGACATTCTGGAGGAGGGGGCATATCCAAGTTTACAATCTTTGGTAAGTGCCGTAGGAGTACTTTAGGGCTACAGTCCGAGCTATTTTGTTCTTTCGCTATTTAGTTCTTTCTTTTACCAACAGTATCTGATATTTTAGTAGATTGTGTTTTTGTTTTGCCCTTCTTTTCTAGAGCCTGGATCAAACCAAATGTGAAGTAAAATGATGTATTTGATGTCAATTTATATTAAAGGCAATCCAACCCTTGTAATACACTGTAAGTACATTTGAATGAAATCAGAAATATAAGATAAACAGAATGGCAAAAGTATTAAATAAGTCGGACCAACAATAAAAGAGTTACAGTATGAATCTGTCAAATGAGATCTCTAAATCTATGCAAATCTCAAATTAGCAGATTGTGACGTAGTTGCTGAAAACTACCAATTTACCTTTCTGAATTTTGTACTATCCTCCAAAGTAGTTTCTAGCAAGTTTAGATTTTCCTTTTAGAACTCCCTCTTCTAAATGTAGGTCACATACACTGTTCATTGTATGTATTGTATAAATGACCAAATGAATCTGTAATGCAGGAGTTAAGCTATTTTTTTTTTTGGGGGGGGGGGGGAGGGGCCTTACCTGTTTCTTGCTTGTCTATAATTTTTTTTTTTATTAAGATGAAAAAGGTATTCATAATGCCTCCCTTGTTAAGATTGAGAAATTAGTATGGGTGTATAGATAGCTCTTTTTTATTGGAATGGGTTTCAGCATAGTGTATTGCAATCCCCCCCCCCCCCCCCACCCCGTATCAGGACAATTACCTCCTGGATAACCACTCCCAGAAAATTATCACCCTGGAAATTACCCCCCAAGGACAACCACCCCCTCCCAAGAGCAATTACCCCCTGAGACAATTGCCAATAGATGTCATTTGTATACCCCCCCCCCCACACACACACACACACTGACACGTACACACACGGGGGATTGTCCTCACGGGTGATTCACCTTTGGGGTTAATTTCCAGGGGGGGGGGGGGAGGGGTAATTGTCCCGCTGGTAATTAGTCGGGGGGGGGGGGGAGATTGTCCAGGAGGTGGTTGTCCTAGAACCCAATTTCCCAACTCTCATTGGCCTACATTATTGTGAAGCTTGCCCAAACATACAGCTGAAGGATAGGCCCAGCATACACTGTAACAGTTGAGCTGTGTATGGGAGCATGAGAGTTGGAAGTTTGTAATACAGCCTTGCCAACATTATATGCAGGCCTGTACATTGATGTGGACAAATTTCAGGCAAGCCTTAATGCTTGACTGAAAAGCCTTTTGCTTGATTTTGGCATACACTATACATGTATATGCACATGATTATATAATCTACAGTTCTACACATTTTGAGACACACTTCGTTACAGTGTTTCATTTCCCTCTCGTCAGCTACATTCCAATCAAGTCCTCATTGCAAAGTGACGGTCTATTTAAATGATAATTTTGTGGGCTGTGGCTTCTGTGGGGAAACCGAGCTTAGAGTACTTGTGGACAATAAGGCAGCTAAGCTGTTTCTCTTACCACTATTATATTTTTGCCAGTACGTGAGTGGGTTGGATGAGTTGTAGTTGTGTGGTCCATTTTCAGGTGGGCTGTATATCGTACAGACCACCTTATAATTTCTTTAGAATTGCCTTTATTATTTATTTATTTATTTATTTATTTATTTATTATTATTTATTTTTCTTAATTCTAACCAAATTTGGCACACATAGGTATAAGCATGTACAAAGCACAATAACGTTTTCAACATTGATCTTCACTGATGACGTCATCTAGGCGCCATTTTGTAAATTTTTTTGAAAAATCAACTCATGATCATATCTTTATTACTAAAAGTTATTTCTCTTTCATATTTATCATGATCAAGGTCAATATCCGTCCGGTCAATTTTAGTTTAACGAACGCGCGCAGGCGTGTACGCAGGGCGCGACAAACCCGCTTGCCCGACGTCCCGGGGCAACCAAATTGAGCCGTCGGGCAAGTAAATCAAATTATCACTTGCCCGATTCGGGCAAGTGATACTTTTACAGTAATTTCCTAGTGTCCAAGAACTCTACCATTCACCCGTCAACTTCTTACCCGTCGTCAAAATCCAGAAGCAAAAAAGCGATCGTTCCGATTTCGAAAAAACTTCACAGACAGCTAGCCAGCTCAGCTAGCTCAGCGCGCATGCAACAGTGACACTTCAAGCCATGAATGCCGCTCCGCCTCCACGCACGGCCGGCCGTGAGCTAGCTAGAGACAGCTAGCGCGATCGTACCAGCTGCGAGCTTATTCGCGCTCTCTCTCTCTAGCTCTGCAGGCCGCACCGACAGGCCTTTGCTATTCTCTGATTGCCGATTGGTTGAATCACGCCAAATATGACGTCATTATTCTAGGGAAATGAACACGTGCGAATCGGAATGGAATAAACAACAGGGATTTTCTAGTAAGTACAAAAAGTCAAATGTTTGATATTTATTCATAATGACTGTTAATGATTGTGAACATATTATTTAAAACTCGCTGCTCATATAAATCAGATGAATGTTTTTGTCTCGTTTTCAATTTATTACTGCGGTCTCAAGATCCGACCGAGCGAGTCATTTTGATAATAGTATCGAGACCCCCAGAATATAAGCCGTTGTTGTTTTGTTTTCATGGTTTTAGCGACGTTGTTTAGTCTAGTTTTCGCATACTTATCCGAGATTTATCGTAAAATATCTTCAATATTATTATTTAGTAAGAATTTACAAATTTTGGCATGATATTTATAGCAGTGAATGATGAACTTAAACCTGCTTGAACCATTCTACCTTGCCGAGATTCATGTGAATCTGATTATTTATGGAGAATCAATAAAATGCGTTTTTTAAACCTTCAACCATCCTTTGTTGACCATTTTCTTTGACATATTAGGTTATTATTCAGTACAGTTACACTGTACATGTATGTGCATTAATTTGCTATCTAAAACACTAACTTATCATTACGAGATAATAAATGCTTTAACCTCGAGTCCTTTTTCGCTTTAAAGTTTTGGGCAAGTGGAAATATTGTTTGGGCAAGTAAATTGAAAACCCACTTGCCCGACAGGGCAAGTGGTGAAAAAAATTCTTGTAGCACTGGTGTACGTCCGCGCGTCAATGCGCGCGCAAAATTTTTAAATGCTCAAAATCGTCTCAAAATCATTTTACATACGTTTTAGGCCATTCTAAGCATTTTATAAAAAAATTGCGCACACGCACATGCGTGCACGTTTTCGCCCGTAACACTATTAAACGACATAGATTCGCCATTTTTTTTTCTTTCATATTATTCCACATATTTTTACAAACAAATTGATACCATGTTTGTCTCTTTATGACTATTAATAACGGAATGATCGACCGTTTAACATAAATTTCTGTGCGCTCGAGCTCTTGTAATACATAGCATATATAGGCAAAAAATTACCTATACAAAATCCATTGTAGCTCTTTAGGATGCAAGGTGACCCCAATTTGTTTTCATATTTTAATAGAGTATGATTGGGAGATATGATTTCATGTCTCATTTGACCCTTAATTAACTCATGACGTCATCATAATGGCCTCCGAACTCAAAATCCCAATTTGCATATTATGACGTCAGCATATTTATGGAAAATTAATTTTATCTCTGTAAAAATGGATTGATTTTCTTCCAAATTTTGATATGTTCTAGCTGAGACAATCGTCTACAAATGTGGTCGTTCACGGTTTTTCATTTTGACAAAAGCATCATGGCGTATTTTTGCGATTAAAGGAGGCATGTCAATTCTTTACAAATTTGCGTGTATTCTCTATGGGACATGATTTTTTCTCAAAACTCGATTCTACATTCCCATCTTTCGCGAGCAATATCTCCCTCGTTTTAGCTTGGTTTACGCTTAACTTTGAGTATGTTGTAGCTGAGACAATAAGCTATCTCACATGTGCCCTTTATTTTGTCTTAAATTTTAGTTGGACCAGCCCACCTATACTTGTTCGAAACAAGTATTACAAATCTAGTTTTAATTAATATTTTTAATTTTCAAATTTAGGTTATAAAGTTTAACAAAGGCACATGCCATGTACAGGGTGTAGTTAATGATATTCATAAAATCAGATACTGGTACTTAGAATTGTGATAATAATAATAATAATTATAATTACATGTAATATTATGATTATTATTATCGTATCGTATCCCTCCCCCTCTCTCTCTATCTTTTTCCGTCTCTCTCCTCTCCCCCCCCCTTCTCTCTCTCTCTCTCCTTCTCTCCCTCTCTCCCTCCCTCTCTCTCTCCCTCTCTCTCTCCCTCTCTCTCTCCCTCTCTCTCTCTCTCTCTCTCTCCCTCTCTCTCTCCCTCTCTCTCTCCCGCTCTCTCTCCCGCTCTCTCTCTCTCTCTCTCTCTCTAATGGCTACAGTGTAGCTGCTGTAATGAGAAACGAGACTCGAGATGATTTACAATATAGGATTAATGCGCTAAGTTCTTGAGAGTCAATGGGCTTGCTTCTAATTTACACTTATTGATTTAAAGTTTATGAGCATACACATACTGTACACTGTACATCAAAGTCAAGGGGTTTAGACACTTCACCTGAGATGCAAAGGTCATGGGTTCAAACCCCAGCACAGAACTAATGTCTTTAAGCTAGGCATTTTATCAATATTGCTTCTCTCCACCCGGGTGTTAAGTGGGTACCGAGAAGGATGCAAGAGTTATATTGTACATCACATGTGGTTTGCTCAGCATTGTGAGTGTTTGTAAAAGCGTGCTGGAATGCTCCCCGGGAGTGGAGAATGTGCAATTATTGTGTTTGCAGACAAGCCTCAATGCAATGACTGAGGTATAATGTTTCTGTAAAGCAACCAGGGACGTTGTAGATATTAAGCCACATGTAAACCCAGAATATTATTGGAATATTATCTGCCAAATGAATATTAACTGTGGAAGGGAATCAAGACAAAGACTTACCGGTATTCAATCAATTTTGAATGGATTGTATCCAGCAGAACAATTTTATCTAGC